GAGTAAATCTCATTTGAACATAATGTTTTGAGTTTTAAAATAATATGCTCTATTTACTTTGCTGATATTTTGGTTAAAAGTTGAGTCTATGTTTAAAAGAAATATTGGCATGTAATATTCTGTTCTTGTACTCTCTTTTTGAGTTTTGGTTTCAGAATTACGTCTGTGTAGTCAAATTAGCCGAACAATGTTTTCTCTTTTTCAGTTCTCTAAATGGCTTTCTGAAAGACTGATATTATTTATCTCTTATTTGTATGTGGGAATTCACAAGTGAATCTACCTACGCCTAGAGGTTAATATGAGTGGCTCTTTAAATTATGGATTTAATTTTTCCAATAAGTATAGGACAATAAAGATTTCCTATTGCTTTTTGTGTCAGTTGTGGCATATTGTTTGTCTTTTTTTCTTTTTTCTTTTGAGATGGAGTCTCACTGTGTGGCACAGGCTGGAGTGAAGTGGCACGATCTTGGCTCACTGCAACCTCCACCTCCCAGGTTCAAGCAATTCTTGTGCCTCAGCCTCCCGAGTAGCTGGGATTACAGGCATGTGCCACCACACCTGGCTAATTTTTGTATTTTTAGTAGAGACCAGGTTTCACCATATTGGCCAGGCTGGTCTCAAACTCCTGACCTCAGGTGATCCACCTGCCTTGGCCTCCTGAAGTGCTGGGATTACAGGCGTGATCCACTGCACCCGGCCACATTGTGTTTTTCAAGGAATGTATCTATTTCATCAAATGTTTCATGTATATTGACATAAATACATTTATAATACCTCTTTCTTGTTTTTAAAATATCTTTAGGATATATATATGTGTGTGTGTGTATGTGTATACACATACATATAATCTGTTTCATTCCCAATGATAGTATTCATATGTTATCTTACCCTCTTTTTAAAATCAGTCTTATCAATCTTTTCAAAGAACTAAACTTTTACTTTGTTGATTTTCTGTGATGTATGTTTGCTTCCATTTTATTGATTTCTGCACTTATTTTTAATAGCTCCTTGTACTTTTTGCATTTAAATTGCTGGCTTTTTATAGTCTCTTGAATTACATCGCTGATTTTCAACCTTTCTATTGTTGTAATACATGTAGTTAAAAGTAAAAGTTGTTCTCTATAAACAGCTTTAGATGCATTAGACAAATTATGATACGTCTTATTTTCATTATCTTTCAGCTTAAAATATTTTAAAATTTCTATTATGTTTTCTTCTTTGACCTGTAGAGTGTAGGACACAAACTGCTTTATTTCCAAACTTTCATAGTCTTCTGGTAGTTTTTCCGGAATACAACAAAGACTGAAGCTTTGTTACAATTTGTTTAGTTTAGTTTTTCCTTGCTGTGAAGGCATAGCCTTACTCCTTTCATGTGGTCCTTTAAAGGTTTATCACTTAAAGGTTTATCACTTAGCGCTAAGGGTTAGTATTTCTTAAGTCTCAAAACAACAGCCATTTTACCAATGGGGCTCCAACTGGGAGAAGCATGAACATCAACCTCTGTCTCCCTAGAATCATGCAGCTGCTGGATCTCTACAGATCATTAGCCCTCCAGTTGCTCTTTCCTGTATTGGAACATCTTCCTGTGTAGGTACAACTTAGGAATTAGCCAGTAATATAAAGAGAATTTATAATACAAATTTGAGATCTTTCTCTGTGGTTCCCTCATCCCTTGAATTTTGACCATCAAGTTCTATGCGCTTTGGTAGCCCCAAACTCTGACCAGTGTCTCCTTAATGCAGTACAACTGCCTCTTTCCACATGAGGTCCATTCCACAATGGTGCAATACAGAACACACCTTTGGGAGGAAAGCACCTTCGAATGTGCAAACTCATATCATGTGCTTCCCTTCTTTCAAGGATTGTAGTTTGTCAAGGCTTGCCTGGGTTGACAGCTCATCAGTGCCTTCAAACAGTTGCTTTAAGTTGGGCGTGGTGGCCCACACCTGCAATCCCAGTACTTTGGGAGGCCGAGGCGGGTGGATCACGAGGTCAGGAGTTCAAGACCAGCCTGGCCAACATGGTGAAACCCTGTCTCTACTCAAAAGACGCACCTGTAATCCCAGCCACTCGGGAGGCTGAGCCAGGAGAATGACTTGAACCTGGTAGGCGGAGGTTGTGGTGAGCCAAGATTGCGCCATTGCTTTCCAGCCTGGGCAACAGCAGCCTGGGTGACAGAGCAAGACTCTGTCTCAAAGAAAAAAAAAAAACCAGAAACAAACAAAAAAACTAGTTGCTTTATAGATCTCATCAACAATGAATAATTTTTCTTCTAGATTAAAAAAGAAGTAATAGATTAAAAAGGCAGTAACAGAGACAAATGAGATTCAATGTTAGGTGAAAAGGATAGGGCATCAATCACTCTACTGTGCGACAGTGTTAATAAGAAAAAAAGAATCTATTGGCTGAAAGTGCTGCACAATGATATTAACTTTTAAATTTGATGGCCAAAATTTCGTGACAAAATGTTAATAATTATTGTTCTTTTTTTTTTTTCCCGAGACAGAGTCTCGCTCTGTCACCCAGGCTGGAGTGCAATGTTGCGATCTTGGCTCACTGCAACCTCCGCCTCCCGGGTTCAAGTGATTCTCCTGCCTCAGCTTCCGAGTAGCTGGGATTACAGGTGCCTACCACCATGCCCAGTTAATTTTTGTATTTTTAGTAGAGACGGAGTTTCACCAGGTTGGCCAGGCTGGTCTCGAACTCCTGACCTCAGGTGATCCACCTGCCTCAGCCTCCCAAAGTGCTTGGATTACAGGCATGAGCCACTGTGCCCGGCCAATAATTATTTTTAAAACAAAATCAGATATACTGTTATATGCTGGAAGAGTATTCCTTCATTAAAGAAGCAATGTTGTTGGCTTTGACTACGGCTCACGAAAATATTGCTTTTCATATTCATCCATTCACCACTGGTCGAGGGTATATACTGGGTACACTTCTAATTCCTACCTTATTATAAGGGAGCTTAGAATGATTTGGATTTGGCCATACCTTTCCATCTTATATTGTTCCTGCTGTTTTGAATTTTAGTACTGTTTGTTTTCATATTCCAAAATGTAATAATTACGAAACAATGTCGTTTTAGGCATTCACTCTTTATTTAGCTTTTGTCACATGTTATGAATTTCCTTTTTCACTTATAACATTTTGAATCCCACTCCTTCATCAGTTCTAAATTCCTATTCATTAATATAGTCATCACTCTGTCATATGTATTGTTCAAAATTGTATATTTGACCTTTTAAATCTTAATTAGTATATTTTAATTTATAGTTTTGTTAGGTTTTTCTCCTTTTAACTTTCCATTCTGAAATTATTTTAGACTGACAGACACAGTATATGAATGACACAGAGGATTCCTGAGCACCCTTCACCCCAATCCCCTCAATGTTAGCACATTAAGCATATTCCTATATTTTATTTTCCTTCCCTTTCACATATATATACAAACATGTATATTTCTGAACTATTTGACAGTCAGTTTGAAGACACATACCTCCCCTTACCCTTAAATATGTATTTTGTAAATAGGTATGAATTTTCTTAAAACAAAGACATTTGTTCTATAACCATAGAACAATTAATACAATCAGGAATTAACATTCATAAAATAATATCATAAAATCTATTGACTTTATTCAGATTTCACAAATTATTTCAATAATGTCCTTTAATAGCAAGAAAAAAATTCCAGATCATATATTGCTATTATATCTTTAAGATCTTCTATAATGTGGACTATTTAGTCAGCCTTTCTTTGTGTTCAGTAAGTTTATTTTATTTATTTATTTATTTATTTATTTATTTATTTATTTATTTTTCCTCCCTGCTTGCCTGTTACTAGGTTGATGCAAAAGTAATTGCAGTTTTTGAGGCATACAAGTCAGTTATTTTGTGAAAATCTCCCTCAATCTGGGTTTGTCTGATGTTTTCTGATTCAGATTACATATTTTTGACAATACCACCACAAAAGTGATGTTGTGCTCTCATGAGCACATCCTATAAAAGAGGTACATAATGTAGATTCGTCCCAGTACTGATTTAATCACTCGGTTAAGATGGTATCTACCCGGTTTCTCCACTGTGGTGGAGATTACAGTGGAGAGTGGAGATTTTCTTGCTATTACAGAACTTCATGACTTCTACAGCTTACGGTTTTTGTGATCAGTATTTCGTTGGTTTGAAGGAACTCTGATAAAGATAGAGGGAACCCAACATTTACCCAGAAGACTAGAGACTGTGTTTACCAGAAGTGTCCAAAAGTGTGCTTTTGTAAAAACTGAAAGCCTCCTCCCCGTCGGGGAATCGAACCCCGGTCTCCCGCGTGACAGGCGGGGATACTCACCACTATACTAACGAGGAACTGACGTGAAAAAAAGTGTTCTTAGGAAATCCATGTGAAGTTACTCACTATTCTCTCTTATTTCTTTGCTCTGTAGTCACACGTTCCCCCTACCAAGTATACGCAAGGCACTTCAGCGAACATGTCTGCGTCCAACCGCCAGTTCTCTCCAGTTCCTCCTTCATTCCTCGGACGCTTTGTGAGGCCCTTTTAAAAAAGAACTCTCGCTAGCCTCCTTTGTGGCGCACTGGTTTCCGTCTATGTTCAACCATGGTTTGAGCCCTAGCGAACATAGGAGTTGCAAATTCTGAAAGGTGCGTCCGTTGGTTTCAAAGACAGGAAAAGCGGAGGTGGGACCAATACCTGCGCTCCGCTGAGGCAAAATAGATTAAGAATCTGCAGATGTATTTTTAAAGTTCAGGATGCGTTAAGTGGCACGCAGAAGCTTTATCACGAGTTCCCTCGCCCAGACTCAAAGCAAATATGACATCGTATTTCCTCGCTGAACCGCTCTGAGTAAAACATTCCAGAGTCGGCAAAAGTTCAGGTGGCCTTAAGAGGAACGCAGAAGCTTTACCATGAGTTCCCTCACTCCCAAACTGAAAGCAAACGTAAGATCGCATTTCCTCGCTGCACTGTTCTCAGTAAAACATACCGTAGTCGGCAGGATTCGAACCTGCGCGGGGAGACCCCAATGGATTTCTAGTCCATCGTCCATCGCCTTAACCACTCGGCCACGACTACACGAATGGAGAACGTTCCCTTCAAGTCTTTAAACAGAAATTACATCAGCTAACTAACAAGAAAGGGCCAAAAGAACAAAATACGGTAAAAATGGTTTCCGGCGCAAGAAACTAGAGTCTGCGAGTACATCAGAAACTCTGAGGTGACGTGCAAGTTGGATAAGGCAAGCCAGCCGCAAGGAGTCCTTGCCCTATCAGCAGTACCGCTTCCAGAAAACTAGAGACCACTGTACCTCTCTCACCTAGACCCAAACCGACCCCGCAAGGAAGTGGAATCAGACCCTTACCCTAAATCTAGGCCTGACACATTTAGTTTTTGTTTGAAACTTCCTCGCATTGAGGCTCCTTGATGAATGCTAATGGCTTTCAAGAAGGGACTAACTTCTGATATGTGTCTGAACTGGAGGGCCAGAAAATGATGCAGAAAACCCTACTTGCACTTTCTTGCTCTGATGAGGTCCCTAAGTCTCTAGGCTCACACCAACCCAAGGAAGTATCTACCCAGTCGCGTTTGCACGGCATTTTGCATTTCACAGTGCGCTTCCGCGCTCCAGTTGGGTTAAGAAAGAAATTTATAGACGATTCATGAGTTCCCATGGAACCGGGTTACCTATCAAAAAGGAAGATCCTACTTTGATTTTTGGCCAAGGCAGACGCTCCTTCGCTCAAAATCTAACCCACACAGCATATTTTCTTTTTCTCTTGTGCTTCGGTATTGAAGTCTAAAGCTGCCGGTCCTGGAGTTTTCCTGAGCCCTTGGGGTGCACAGATTACTGTAACTGGCTTTCGTCTACTTCTTGGAACCATATACTAATCCAAGAAAAGAGGGAAACAATCGCAAGCTAGGAAACCATGTCGACTAAGTAGATAAATGAGGAAGAGGGACAAGGAGGAAGAGGGAGAGAAGAAAGTGACCAGAAGGGAGAAGAAAGGAAGGAGGGACAGGAGGTAGAAATAAGAGGATGAAGGAGAAAGAAGAGGAGAAAGAGGAAGAGAAGAAAGGAAGGAAGAGCGGGATGGAAAAGACAGAGATTTTCTGAGGGCCTTGTTAGCGCTCAGAAAACGATACCCCAAAGTATGGCCCTTGGAAGTGCTGAGTACTTTGAACAACCTAAGAACCTCAGAACCAAAGTCTCTCTGACCTTCCGCAGCCCCACTGCCTCCTGATCCTCTTTCATTCCGGAATGGCAGGGAGGGGCTTTCACTGAAGTTTCCCTTATTTGACTCAGGGAAGTTCCTCCAGAAGGAAAGAGATTGTCATGAACCCTCTCCTGGAATCTGTACTAAACCAGAGAAGATTAACTCAGATCCCAGGAGAGAAAACCAAAGGTCTCCACGCCCGGGACATCTCGCCGAACCAGACTTCAATTCTTTTCTTCACCACCTTTCTGAGGGCTGCTACTTGAGAGACTTTATCTGTGTAATAAGACAAGCTTTTTTACCAGAGTAGTTCCTGCCCTAACCCTCACATTACTTCTCGCCACCACCTTCCAGGAGCCTTCAAGCCCCTATTTCTTTATGTAGCTCCAAGACCTATTTAAGCTTCAACCATTTGCCCCTTCTTTGAGTCTCACTTACACTTTCTGGGACCCCTGTGCATATGTGCATAATAAATGTGTATGCCTTTGCTTCTGTTAATCTGTCTACTGGCAACTTTATTTCTCAGACTCAGATAACCAAACTCCAGAGTGGAGAAAAAAGATTCTCTCACCCCTACAGGGTCAAAAGAAGACTAAAAGAAATTCACTAGATTTATGGAAGACCATAATTTGAGGGGATAGACATGAAGCAGTTTGATGGGGTAGCGAGGTGTCCATACAGATATAAATTGTGTTATAGATTGTTGTTCATAGTTCATGCATATCACATCCTTTTTATTTGGTGGACATATTTTTGTCAAGCATTTCTTTATATATATTTTTTTGCTGAAATCATTTGCAACTCCAGCTTTGAATACAGTTAGATACCACAGAAATATCAAAAATCTGTTTTAAAAAATAAAAAAAAAAAATTAGAATCAGGGTCTTACTCTGTCACACAGACTGGAGTGCAGTGGCACCATCATAGCTTACTGTAACCTGAACTCTTGGGCACAAGCCATCCTTCTGCCTCAGCCTCCAGAGTAGCTAGGAATAGAAGCATGCACCACCATGCCTAGCTAATTTTTTTTTTCTTTGTAGAAAATAATTTATTTTCTTTGGTATTCCTTGTATTTGAAGAAAAATTGACAATTTGCCTTTTTAAGTATAGAAGGACATTTGATTTGTTTCCAATTTAGGGCTAAAGTAGAAACTGGACTAGTTTTTGTTTCCTGCAACTAAGTCCTGACTCTCTACCTTTACTGAGATCCATTCTACCATGTTTTTGTTTTCAGCCCAGTAAAACAAATAAGATTGCAGCTGTGGCCAGTCCCTAGTCATGGTTACAGTAAAACAAACAAGCCAACAGTTGATTGGTAATTTTAGTTCAAATATATCACTAGTTGCTTTGTATTTTGCTGAGGTGTTTTTTTAAGCACAAAAGGTTTCTGAGGGCTGGGTTCAGTGGCTTATGGATTGTAACCCCATCATTTAGGGAGGCCAAGGTGGGAGGATTGCTTGAGGTCAGGAGTTGGAGGCCACTTTGGGCAACATAGAGATAGAGAAGTCGCTGAAGACAGAAATTATATCTTTCTGTGTCCTCAATATGTATTGAAAGTCTCATTTGTATAAGGTATGGCTAAAAGTTTTCCAAATCATGAGTGCTGGTTCCTTTTGCTGAATAGTTCCTTCCTCAGTTCATTTCTTTCCTCATGCATTTCACCATAAGCAGCAATAACTAACCAGGTTGCACATTCCACATTTTACTTGGAAGTATTCTCAGCTAAATATTCAAGTTCATCATGTACAAATTCTGTTTTCCACCCAACTGTAGAATACAATTCAGCCAAGTCTCTCCCTCTTTATAACAAGATCACCATTCCTTCAGTTTCTAACTGCATGTCATTAATTTCCTTCTGAGACCTTACCATAAGCATATTTAACATTCTTATATTTTAAATTTAATAGAAAACTTTTGGAACAGTTTTAGGTTTATAGAAAAATTGAGTGGAAAGTAGAGTTTCAGTATACTCCTTCCTTCCCCCTTTCTCTCCCAGTCTCTTTATTATTAACATCTTGCATTAGTGTGGTATATTTATTACAATTGATGAGCCAATGTTCATAAATTATTATTAACTAAAGACCATAGTTTATATTACGGGTCACTTTTGTGCTGTATAGTCTATGGGTTTTAACAAATGTATAACAACATGTATCCACCATTACTATATCATACAGAATAGTTTCGCTGCCTTAAAAATCCACTGAACGTCACTTATTCTTCCCTCTTAAAATCCACTGAACATCACTTATTCTTTCCTTTTTCCCTCCCCCTAAGCCCCTGGCAACCACTAATCTTTGCTGTTTCCATAGATTAGCATTTTCAGGGATGTTATATAGATGGAATTATACAGTATGTAGCCTTTTCCAGATTGACTTCTTTCACTTACCAATATGTACTTAATGGTCTTCTGTTCTTCTTCCTTTTTGGTAGCTTGATAGCTCATTTATTTTCCTTACTGAATATTTCATTGTCCGAATGTACCATAGTTTATGTATTCATTCATGTACTGAAGGACATCTTGGCTGCTTCCAAGTTTTGCCTATCATGAACAACGCTGCTATAAACATTCTTGGGCACGTTTTGTGTGGACATACATTTTCAACTCCTTTGCATAAATACCAAGGAACACAATTACTAGATCGTATGGTAAGAGCATGTTTAGTTTTGTAAGAAATTGTCAAACTGTCCTCCAGCGTGGCTCTAACGTTTTGCATTACCATCAGCAATGAATGAAAGTTCCTGTTGCTCCACATCCTTGTCAGCATTTGGTATTGTCAGGGTCCTGGATTTTGGCCATTTTGATAGGTGTATAGTGGCACCCCATTGTTTTAATTTGCATTTCCCTGAGGACATATGATGTGCAGCATCTTTTCATATGCTTATTTGCCATCTGTATATCTTCTTTGGTGACATCTGTTAGGGTCTTTGGCCTGTTTTTTTAATCGGTTTGTTTCCTTATTGTTGAGTTTTAAGAGTTCTTATATATTTTGGATATCAGTCCTTTATCAGATATGTATTTTGCAAATATTTTCTCCCAGTCTGTGCCTTGTCTTTTCATTCTCTTAAACATTTGTTTTATTTTTTTAAACCAATGTTCTCTTCATGACAATATATGCATTCTCTAAGATGATCGAAGCTTTCTCTATCATGTTCCCTTGACTGTAATTGTTTTTCATATACTCAGTGTTAGGATTTCCAGGTTTAATGTTTGTCAGCCAACAGTCTGAGAGACTTGACCTCGGCCCCTTATCCAAATGCTGGGAATGCACACCAGCACAGTAAAATGCAAGTGCCACGTCTTAAATATAAAAATCTACCGATTTGTTGGATTCTTTTTTTCTGCCAAGGACACAGTGACGGACAGACTGGCCTTGGGCTATATGCAGCTATGTGCTGGCTGACACAGGCATATAAGATGCTTTACTAAGGGGCAAAACATGCTAATATCATCTCCGGGTTTCCTTAAGCATTAGAAAAACATGTTGGGGCCGGGCGCAGTGGCTCACGCCCGCAATCCCAGCACTTTGGGAGGCCGAGGCGGGCGGATCATTTGAAGTCAGGAGTTTGAGACCAGCCTGGCCAATATGGTGAAACCCCGTCTCTACTGAAAATACAAAAATTAGCCAGGGATGGTGGTGCATGCCTGTAATCCCAGCTACTCGGGAGACTCAGGCAGGAGAATCGCTTGAATCCGAGAGGTGGAGGTTGCACTGAGCGGAGATCGTGCGATTGCACTCCAGCCTGAGCAACAGAGCTAGACTCCGTCTCAAAATAAATAAATAAATAAAGTTGGTCGCCACTCAATTGAGAGTCGTGAAAACAATTTTAATGGGTAACTACCAGTATTTTCAAAATGAC